TATCGGCTATCATCACCTCTGCTAGATCGGGTGTCATCACCTCTGCCAGATCGAGTGTCATCACCTTTGCCAGATCGGGTGTCATAGCCGCCATTGCCTTCCCTGTCAGGGACGTCTCTGCAACGACTTTAGATGGCGGTAGCAGGTGGCCGTTCGAGCGCGGCTGTCATGTGTCCGACCCGTAATCAGTCAGGCGCGCCGCCTCAGAATACGGACTTCTTTGGTGTCAGGTACGGTTGTTCAGCCATGCGACCTAGAGCCAAAGTGCCTGAGTGGTGCGCGAGGTGAAGTCTTGAATTCGGATAGAAGTGTGGCCCGAACTACCCCGAGGTGGGTTAGCTCGGGTTTTTGCCCTTTGCGCTCCTTGTAAGGCTCAAGGCCWCTAAGGAAGAGCTCGAGCTCCTCCTTGGGGAGCTTGGGTCGTAGGTTCCTTTTTGGGAGTGCTCGGGGCTCCTTTACTTGAAACTCGGGTCGTGGGCACGTTGCTGTGCCGAACTGGCGCTCCTGCCAAGTCACTCTCGATTGCTTCCACGTGTCGCGCGGCTAAGAAATCGGGTCAAATCTCCCTCCATCAGCTTCTTTTCTCGATGATTATTAATTTATCATCAATCTTGCTAGAAAGTCAATACATATATTTCCTTCTCTTAGAATATCCATGAATTTAACTTGCATGCTACCAAGAATATATAATTGCTATTTTTCTCATGATACACGCTACACTCTACTGAAGGTGAGCATTCGCTATAATAGTTTCAACAAGTAATTAAGGAGTTGTCACTTTCAATTTCAACCTTTTGATTACCCATTTAAAATAAACATTTAGACCATATAGAGGACATGATCATACTAGTTTGAGAAAGAAAAGCAAGCATTGCCATCATAAGTTCTTAGAATACCCCCACCCTGACCGAGGCCCGGGTTTGTACCATCTATATTCAACTATGACAATATTGGTAAAGTCAATTGTATCACAGTTTACACAAATTTTGCTTACATAGTTTTTACAGCCTTGCATTGGAAATATCTTTATATTTACATGCTTTATTTCATGGAAGATATCCCTAATACAAAATTGTAAGAGGGTATTTGAATGGTATAAACACGGGCTTGCACCATCAATCCATCGATTAGGGCCGATAAGGCCCCTGATGTAGCTTAAAATCAGCATACTAAGTTGAATATTGTAGTAGTTGTAACAAACTTTTTGATTAGAGAGACAGAACATTTTAGATGCTTAACCAACCCATATCAAACAAAAATGCGTTTCTATTTTTCTATTAGAATCAGGACGCTGCATGGATGATGGATCATTTTTTAACTCAAAGATTAAAATATAAACTAAACACCACAATATCAAACAATCTTATTCAAGGGAAAGTACAGAGTACTAATGGTTGGCTTATCATTAATTAATTTTGAAAGGGTTCATGATATCACATGCTCCAGATAGCTAACAGAATATATACCAAGGGTTGAACGTGAGTGCCTGGTTGTTGTAAGTGAAATTTGTGGTTCAAGTGTCACTACCCTCAAACTACATTGTATAAACTATTAAGGTTCAAATTTTTTATATGATACACCTTATATTGAGCCACTAATACCGCAAAACAACGGGTTTGGGATTTCGGGCACTTTCAGAGAGTAGGCAGGTTAAGTCCGACCCAATAAATAATTTTGAAAAAAAAAATTTAAAAAGTCATGTTTTTCGGTATCAAAATACCCAACACAATATTTTTGAAGCCCTCTTGGCAAGAACAGAACATTTTGATGTTTATATGATATACATGAATAGAGTATTACACATCATAGGGGTATTAAGCGATGGAAACAAAGCAACAACTCAGAGAAGGCTCACATGAGAAAGCCTAGACTTATTGGGAATGGAATGGGGTGGGTTTGGGGTTGGGCACCCACTCCTTATCAGGGATGGAGAATAATTGAATTTTCCCTATCCCGAAGGAATTGAATTATAATAATTTGGAGGTACTTTATAAATAGAATTATGGGATCAGTTCGAGGCGGGTTCAAAGAATTATAAGCAAACCTCATCTCCATAAAAATATTTTCCCCGTCCCTATCCTGTCCCTGTTTAAGATCAGGAAAAACCCTCCCCATTCTGAGTGGGGCTTTGGTTTTATGCATTGTTTTCAAAACCGGACTTGACCGTCGGACCGGAAAAACTGGGAACCGGTTCCATTTTCCTCCAAAACCGTTGATTTTGGTCAATAAACCACTGAATCGGCCGGTTAACCGTTCGAACCATTTGAACGGTTCGGGTCGAACAGTCGGACCGTTCGAACCAATAACCAGACCCCTGACCGGTTCGATCACCAATTCGTTTTTAAAAGCCATGGTTTTATGAGAAAATTTTCCATCTGGACTTATCATGTGGCTCCATGTTGGGAAAGGAAACGATGCTGAGTCCCATCTAAACTATAAATCCCCATTTATTTCACAAATTGCATTCTTTACATCGACCTCACAACATTTACAGTTGGTCATGGGGAATATTTTGTCATTGATGGGTAGATGTTCCCGATGCAAGTTGGTGCCAAGAACGCATGAGGAGCAAATCTGAATTCCTAAACTATATATTAGGGTCGTCGTGGTCATGGGCCGACAGGGCACCTGATGTACCATAAAATCAGCAGCATATTGAGTTGAATATTCTAATTGTACCAAACCTATTTCATTAGAAAGCTAGAAGACTTTAGATGCTTAATTAACACATGTCAGTCAAAAATTGCGTTTGTGTTTTTGTAATACGATCGAGGAGTCCAGATTTCCTATTCAGTCTCTACTCGCCGTAAATTACAGCTATACATCTCTTCATTCACAATAGAGATAGAGATGTATGACTCCAATTCAATTCACGGTGAATAGAGAAAGAGTAGGAAATCCCTAATGACAATAGATACGTTCCATGGCTGATACAAGAAAAACACCACCATACCAAACATCTTACTCAATCGTCTAAAAAGCATTAACTGCACATGCATCCCGGTGCTTCATATCTGTCTGGGTGGGGTTGCTATCACTATTCTACTATTTGTTCTACCACCTCCACCTTATTTTGATTCAACATATCACGGGCGCAAAATACAAAAAGCAATGGACAAAATTTTAGCCATCTAAATACAACCTATACTTTTGTAAAAGAGAGTTACTAAATATACAGAAAATGTTGGCTGACTACGTTATGCAGCATGTGCTACTCACATGACTCTTTTTGTATGATACATTAGTTCATATGATCTTCATGCAACAGCAGCAATAATGCTGAAACCTGAGGCCCTCAAGGCATAAGTTTTTTATTTTCTTTTCTACTAGGTTGCAGAAGGCTTATAATAATTGTATGTCGCATGAAAAGAGCTTGTGAATAGTGCAGGCTGTCGAACATAGACAGCCAAAGTTATATATAAAGGATAAAAACATTTATTGAATAAACACTTTAAAATAAGTTTAAAATTTAAGCTTTTCAAATAAATAAAATATAATCATTTATTTTAAGCTTATTTCWAAAACACAAATAAGTGGTTATTAGTGTGATTATGGTCCTAAATAATTAAGCACTCCCAAATTTAATCTTATCCCACTTATGCTTCCATTGATCGGGTTCAAAAATCAAAAAGTGCACAGTCCAAAAATAAAGATCCAAATCCATCAAATGAATCAACATCAACGCAGACATGCTGACGTGGTAAGAGAAAAACCTGACAGATCGTATCTAGACTTTTTGCACTCATTTCCAGTCCTTCAACTCCACGTGGTAATAGTGATTGTAGACCGAAGGTTGTGGAAGTGTAGAACCACCTACCAATTTACTTCTACGTTGAATTATTTTATTTATTATTATTATTATTATTAAGAATAAATAAACAGCACTCCACCTCACTAACTCTTATTATTATTGGGTGTTTTTGCCTGGTCACGTTCAAACGTGACTCCTGGAGTCACAATTTTAGGGCCAATCCGATCTGCAATTCTATCGCAATAGACGTGATCATCACTTCTCCACGTCTCCTCCGGTCCATTCAGTGTGGGTCCCCACACTTCCCGTTTTATGATCAGTGATCACGAACTGGCTTTTCTCGACTTTGACATGGGGGCCCGCATGGATGTCATCAAAGGTGGAAGTCCCACGACACGCCCACCTTCAGTAACTTTGTTAAGAGTAATAAAGACCACGTGAACCATGCCCCTGGTTTGGTATATGGACCGATGGATCATGGACGCCTTGACGGTAGCCTCATCGACGATACATCTGGACCCTACGGAATATTGATGGTGATGGGGGTGATTTATTATATTATAATCAGATTAATCTAGAAAATAAAATGTTACCCCATGCAAATGCAAATCAGCAGCCAATTTGTCATGGGAAAGAGTGCTTACCAGTTACCACTACTGCTCAGATGATCAGAACTTGGATGCTCAGGCTTTATCAGATTGATGTATCCCAATCCAACGGCGCCTGAAGATGCTTGTACCGTAAGGCCTGGTCCATTGATATATTTCAATTTTTCTGCCGACGGAATTCGGGAACCATCCTCCCTTCAATAACCTTTCAAAAAAGGTAAAACGAAAACCTGTTCCAAATTCCAATCAAGCCGGAGAATTAACCAACCTCAGATCGAATCAGACCACACCGTCCAACGGCCATAGATGATTGATTGATTGGCCAGTCCCGGCACCATGGAAAGAKGAACGCATCCACGACGAATCCTGATCCGACACACTGCCTCCTCTCAAAAATCAGCTGCTCACATTCGAGTAGAGCGCTGGGCTAAAACCGTGGAATCACGATTCACGGCCTTCGATGCATTGATATGGCCCCACCTTAATACATCAAGGGACGTGATTCATGCTTTTAGCCTATCGCTCTACTCCAATGGGAGCAGCTGATTTGTGATTTCTCATTTGTCTGACACACTCCAATTCATCAATCTCTCTCTCTCTCTCTCCTATATATATGTACGTTCTCTCAAGTCTCAAGTCTCAATAGACTGAGAAGTCAGAGCCATCACCAATAAGATGAGTATGTACACCAATCCCTTCCGGAGCTTTCCCGATCTTGAACATGTCGTCCCATATTCTTACGATACCCTGCGTGATGAAGAAGAACAAGCGGAAGCTCCGTCGGGTGGCCGGAGGAGACCCATGAAAGTTCTATTGTCCACCTTGTTGTCTGGGATCTTACTTCTAGCTCTGGTAATGGTGTTGACCGGTGGCCAGAGATCAGAAGAGGAAGTAGTAGAGGTGGTAGAAGGGAATCATCATCCCTCATTTCCTTCTTCTAAACCGTCGAGAGCCATAGAACCTGAGTGGGTATCACGGGGGGTATCGGAAGGGGTGTCGGAGAAGGCTTTCCGTCCTTACTCCGAGAAAGGAGATTCGTATCCATGGACCAACCTCATGTTGTCTTGGCAGAGAACGGCCTACCACTTTCAGCCCGAGAAGAACTGGATGAATGGTGGGTACCCATCTTTTTTTTTTTCAATCAAAAACTTCTAAGTTACCTGAGATTTCTCTTTATTCTCTTGTTGTTAATCTCATATCTTCTAATATTAATCTTCGTTCCTTTCTCATTGTTCTGATACGATTGGGGGAATGAATCTTCTTCTTTCTGCTCCAGATCCCAATGGTAAATCTTCTGAACAATGCTATCCTCTACTTTTCTTCTGATTATATATTTCTCGTTTTTTTTTCTTGTTAAAAGGAATTATAAATGTGAATTTGTGACATGGAAAATCCAGAATTGAATCTCTGCTGGACTTCCACTTACGACAGATGAAAAATGGAAGGGATCTACGGAATTAAGGAAAGATGATCATAATCGAAACCTGCTCTGATGTTGATGAATTGAATCTCCTTTTGAGTTTTGGCTTTATGTCAAAACTAGTATTATTGTTGTTTTTATTAATTCTAATTTCTAGACTGGAATGGAGAACCTAAGCCATGGCCCATGGGATGGTCACGTGGACGTTAGGTGAAACCAGGGTCTCGCTTTTAAGTGCCACCGGCGAGTCAAACTCCGCAATTAGGTACCACGTCCTTCCTTCGAGTCCCTAGAAACTAGAGAAGATTATCAGATTTCCGATTTGACAAAGTGGAATGTGGGCCGTTCTTCCTCAGCCATGTAAATGTCCGACAAGACATTAAATCCTCCCCCTCCCGTATCCATCCATATTAGTGGACATATTGCCGATGATTCATTATTCCGTACAGTTGCAGAGATTTACTTGACGAGAGACTCCTTCAGGAGGCGCGGGATCAAACTCGCCCATCTCCTACAGTCCTACCCACGACCAACTCTGCCCACAAAAAACACTACCCCGTGTATTGGTCGTGTAATGTTCTTCATGTATGCTTGGGTTGCGATCTCTTGTTGGTAGGAGATCCGGACTCTGTGGTCATTCCGTGGAATGCCTAACTTATCGGTGGCCTCACGTGACGTGAATATATAAGAAAAAAATTAAAAGAAAAATTATGATATCGGAAAAATTTTAGGAGTTTTTATTTTATAGTTCAGTCCACCCCAAGGTGGAGCTAAGATTTCTATGGTGGAGCTAATAATGATATAATTATGCTGATTTGGGAAATGATACGTTGCAGGGCCGCTGTTCTACAAAGGATGGTACCACCTATTCTACCAATACAACCCTGATAGTGCAGTGTGGGGCAACATAACGTGGGGTCATGCGGTCTCAAAGGACCTCATCCATTGGCTCTACCTCCCCCTTGCCATGGTCCCTGATCACTGGTACGACATTAATGGTGTCTGGACCGGTTCGGCCACCTTGCTCCCTGACGGTTCTGTCGTCATTCTTTACACCGGCTCCACCGACGAAAAGGTTCAGGTCCAGAACCTCGCCCACCCGGCCGACCCCTCTGACCCTCTACTCCTCCACTGGATTAAGTATCCTGGCAACCCGGTCATGGTTCCACCGCCAGGCATTGGCACCTTGGACTTCCGAGACCCCACCACCGCCTGGCTCACTCCCGACGGCAATTGGCGCCTTACTCTCGGTTCCAAAGTAAACGAAACCGGCATTTCCCTTGTGTACCAGACCACCAACTTCACCAGTTACGAACTTCTTGACGGTGTGCTCCATGCCGTTCCCGGCACCGGAATGTGGGAATGCGTGGACTTCTATCCTGTCTCGACCACAGAGGAGATAGGCCTGAACACGTCGGCTTTTGGGCCTGGAGTGAAGCATGTGCTCAAGGCCAGCCTCGACGACAGTAAGAAAGATTACTACGCCCTCGGAACTTACTACGTAGAGAATGATACGTGGATCCCGGACAATCCTGTGGCGGATGTTGGAATTGGCATCCGCTACGATTATGGCAAGTATTACGCCTCCAAGACATTCTACGATCAGCACAAGCAGAGGAGAGTGTTATTCGGTTGGATTGGTGAGACCGACAACGAGGCCGAGGACATAAAGAAGGGTTGGGCTTCTGTTCAGGTACTATATATGATTCTTTATTTCAATTCAAAGTAGCTACTATGCATCCTACATGAACCAACAATTAAATTCGACTTGAGATTACTAGCTAAAATGAAAATTCACCGGATTAGAGCATTCGATTTGAAACACAAAGTAATCAGCTTTCTTGATTCATGGAACATGACTTGTGCACTTCCTTCGATCGGTGTGATTTTGACTTTTTCTGTATTGATTATTACATCCAACGTAACAGAGCATTCCAAGGGTGGTGTTGTTTGACCAGAAGACTGGGAGCAATCTAGTACAGTGGCCAGTGGAGGAGGTAGAGAGCCTGAGATTGACCAGTACGGAATTTGACAAAGTGGTAGTCGGAGCTGGATCAGTTGTGCCGCTCGACGTGGGAACAGCCACACAGGTCTGCTTTCTTTCATCCTTTTTTATGGTTACTTTGTTGAATTGTTTTTCGGTTTTTGGCTCATCACCAGGGGAGTGACTGGGTCGAAATGGTTACAGTTGGACATAACTGCTGAGTTCGAGATCGACAGTGAGACCTTAGAAGGAACCATCGAAGCTGATATAGGCTATAACTGCACCACAAGCGGGGGAGCTGCCGGAAGAGGCACCTTGGGACCCTTCGGCCTCTTGGTTCTGGCAGAGGACAGCCTTGCCGAGCAGACACCAGTATACTTCTACATTGCCAAGGACACTGACGGCGATTACAGGACCTTCTTCTGTGCCGACGAATCAAGGCAAGGCATGCTCCTTTCATTTCCTTGTTCTTTCTCTTATTAGCCAAGTCCTGTGGTGTGGTCCTCTCCTCTCTAGCTCATGCACAGTACTTGACTACTTGTAGATTGATCCTCACTTAACCAATACTCATCTACTTGGTTCTTAGGTATCCATGCATGGATTGATTAAAGTGGTGGGAGGCCTTAATTAGTTCCATTGAAACTAATAAATGAAAATGCTGCTGTTGGTGCAGGTCTTCTTTGGCAAATGATGTTGTTAAATATGTCTACGGGAGCTATGTTCCTGTACTTGAAGGAGAAAAATTAATTATGAGGCTACTGGTATGTTGACAGGCCAGCTTTTGTTCTTAAGAAGCTACCATGCATCGAGCTTTCTCCTTTCTAAAATTGCTAGATTAATTTGCAAAACCAAATAGGAATTAATGTCAATGGGATGGGACCCTTGAATGCTTCTTCCATCCCAACCCGCCCCGCCCCGACCCATTAACAAAATCGAAATTAAAACCCACCTGGATCCTCTGTGACTATTATTTCTTTTAATTAGCTAGTTTCATTTTATGCATGTAGTTACTGATAACCTGTATTGGTGTGGGTGGATGTCTACGCCTACGCATGCAGGTTGATCATTCGATAGTGGAAAGCTTTGCTCAAGGAGGGAGAACAGTCGTCACATCAAGGGTATATCCAACACAAGCAATATATGGAGCAGCCCGGGTTTTCTTGTTCAACAACGCTACAGCGGCCAACGTCACTGCCTCATTGAAGATTTGGCAGATGAACTCTGCTTTCATTCGCCCCTACTTCAATGACCACCACATCTAACATCTGCCTCTCCCCAGTCCTCACATCCACCCACCTACATTTCCTCAACCTTCCGTCAACCCCCCATCCATTGTTTCAAGTGTTTCAATTCAATTCCCACCTACCAGTTGGATCGATTTTCATCATCTCATTCTACCTTATATTTCTGTTCTTTTTCAGTGGGCCATTTGCTGTTCCATTCTAGGCTGGCCCTGTCATATCTATTTGGTAATTGGATCCTTGTAGAATTAATGATACGTCAGACAATTTTGTACGAGGCAAATTGATATATTACATCTTTCCATTCATTGTGAATGTAAATACCTGATACTTGCTCTTGTGTCTCGGTTAATTTGCACCGCATATATATCTCATTTACACTGGTTCCAAAGAATAGGAGTTCCAGAGTAAATTCTAGTTTGCTTTTTACAGTGAATTATAGGGGGGGGTACTTGACACTTTGGCCCCTCAAAACTTTGTTTTGTCACAAAGTTCAGCACTTTGCCTCAAAACTTTGTCAACCGCTGCTTGTTCAGGGCATTGAATATGAAGTGCTGGTACAATAACACTTCCATAAATAGAAATTAAGTCACTACCAGAGTTTGCTAAGAGAAATATGTAAGAGTTTAGGCTATGTTTGGTTTGAAGGAAAAGATAGGGAAAGGAATAGAAACATAGGAAAACCTATACAAGGTTTATGAAAATTTTCCTACATTTTCCTTCATTTCCCTACCTTTTCCTTCAAACCAAACACAGCATTAGTGTTTGAGAAAAAAAAAAAAAATTGGGCCAGAAGGTCTTAAAAAATAACACAACCATGCATGGTTTGGGGTATTTGAATATATAAAAGGGCACATGGCAGTCACATGGAAATATTCCATGTACTTAATTGACAGATTGATAACGACAAAGGGTGTTGGAAGTTTTTAAGTTAAGAAGATGTGGTCCACACATTATATGAAAAAGAATTGAGATAGAAGGAATGTGGTGTAAAATTTGCTTCAATTCTTTTGTCCGTTTCTAATTAAGAGGGCCCAAAATATGATTTTTTTTTTGGGTAATAAACATATTAAATTCAGAAAGAAAGGCCGAAGCCAGGGAACAATATCAGAAATACAAAAACATAACACAGAGAAACAAACAGCAGAAACACAAGAAACATTAAAAAAAAAAAAAAACAGCAATGCTACCTCCTACTGAAAACTAGAAAAAACACAGTTAACCACCAGACCAATCATCAGCAAGAGCACCAGCCAACCAAAAGGGAGCAGCATCCAGCCACTGCTCTGGTCCCAGGAGACCTCTTTGAGCTGCAACATGGGCAGCTTTGTTTGCCGACCTCTTTACAACGGAGAAAGAGACTTCAAAAAAGCTAGCAACTTTTAAGCAGCCTTGAACTATGGCAGAAATCTCTGCAGGACAGTCAATCTCTTTCTTATTGAGCCAACTAATCATAGACTTGTTGTCACTTTCAATAATCACCTTCTTAAACTGCAAATCTCGAGCAAACAACAGACCATTTAGGACAGCTAGAGCCTCTGATTGGAGGGCTGAGACAGCTGATGCTTTGCCACAGTTAGCCGCCACAAAAAGACCTCCTTGGTCCCTGATAACTAAACCAGAAGCTGCTGAATTAACTGCCAAAAAGGCTCCGTCCACATTTAATTTCAAAGAATCAGCTTGAGGAGTCCAAAGAACAGAAAAGACAGCCTCCCCATTAGAAGGGGGTTATGTTTGTGATGAAGTAGCTTCCATCTTCAGAAGTTCTTGGAGCTGATTCAGAACCCTGCCAATAACAAATCTTGGGTTAGGAAGGGCATCTTTAAAAATAATATCATTCCTATGGAGCCAAATATTCCAACAAAGAAGAGCTAAAGTGGATTTTAGTGCTTGCTTCCTTTCTGAAAAGCTATTGCACATAGAGAAATAGCCTATTAGCCACTCCTTAAAAGACGAGACAGGAGGGAGGTATTGCATTCTGAGTCCCAAAGGGCTACCAAACCAACATGCTTTTGCCAAGTCACACTCACAGAGAGCATGCATAACTGTTTCTTCTTCCTTTGAGCAGACAGGGCAGGTTGAAACAGACTGAATTCTCTTTTTGACCAGATTTACCTAAACCGCTATTGCATCAAGGCAAGCACGCCAAAGGAAATGTTTAATTTTCGAGGGCACTTTCAGATTCCAGATTTGGAACCAGAGTTGTTGTTTGTCTCTCAGGCCTTGAGAGATTGTAGGTTCAGCTAGTTTATTTGCAACAAAATAGGCAGATTTTACTGAAAAAAAAAAAAAGCCTTTCTTATCAGCAACCCAAGTTAGTTTCTCATCCCAATCAAAGATGGGGGAGTCTGATTTCCAAGATTTTCTGGGCAACTGGAGGAATAAAGGTATTGTTGATTAGATCTGTGTTCCACTCCTTGCTGTTGGGAAAGAACAAATCACAGACTTTTAAGATATTTGGATTATTTGGCTTCGGGCCTATGATTCTAAAACCTGGGATTCCAGGAATCCATGGCTCTTCCCAAACTGCAATATTTCTTACTGAGCCTAGAAACCAGCACACTTCCTCCTTAATATCTCTTCCCACCAGCACACTTTTCCATATCCTTCTAGATCTTCTTTAGTTTCTCACACACCTTACTTGGCAGCTTGAAACAAGACATGCTATAGACAGGAATTGCATTGAGAACAACTTTTATCAACACCTCTTTTCCTGTTGGGCTCAACCACTTATTCTTCCAGTTAAAGGCCTTTCTCTCCGCTCTGTCAGTCAAGAATTCAAACATTTTATATTTTGATCTACAAAAGTGGGAGGATAGACCTAAGTAAATAGAGGGCTTTTGTGTTCTCTTGATTTGCATGCTTCTGGCCAATAACATTTGAATCCTACAATGCACATTTTTACTAAAAGTAGCTTCAGATTTGCTTAGATTCACCTGTTGTCCTGAAGCTTGTTCATAATCTCTAATTGCCTCCAAAACCCTCTAGCCTTCCACTGGATCAGCTTTAGTGAAGATGAAACTGTCATCTGCAAAAAACAAATGTGAGATTGTTGGACATCTACTATTAAGCTCGACACCAGAAATTAACAAATTTGAACTATACATTTTTCCTCATTCAATTCAATCTCCTAAGTCTTATATTTAGGGCATTAATTCTCATTCATTCATTGGATCCTATATTAACTATTCATATTAAAGAAAAATAAGTGTGGTAAAGAAAATTATTTTTATTGATGATAAAAATAAAATAAAAAAATAAAACCAACCCAAAAACGGAGTTATTTTCTTGTTTCGCAACGAATCAATAATTCAACTTTTTGGGTCAAATGTGTCAACCCTTAATGTTATAATTGAATAATAATAGCAATAATCAAAAAATATGAAAGCACATAAAATTATAAAAAATTAGAAAATATTTGGGCACATCTCTAATATCATATATTCATCAAATTAAATAAAAATAAGTGTTACGTATAAAAATAATTTTTACTGACATAAATGATAAATAAATAAAAAAATTGTAGAACATTTTGGAAATATATATTTAATATCATCATTATCATAAAAAATTGACATGTGCAAAGCACATGCATACTTTTTAATGCCATTAAAAATATGAATGAGCATGTGAAATTTTTTTGACTAAAATACCCCTACTTTTGGATTTGGCCACTCTCTAATTGTGAGCGCAAAAAATGTAATTTGAACTACTACTTTTTATCTATTCAATTTCTTTTCACTAAGCCTTATATTTAAGGTATTTTTCTCACCAATAAATTCTACTAGTTATATCTATATTCAATAACAAGCCAACCCAAAAACAATGCCATTATTTTGTTCTGCCTAAACTTTTAGGTCAAATTTGTCGACTGATGTCAAAATTAAATAATAAAACTTAAAAACAATAAAACACAAAAATACTAAAGTTTTGCAGGAAAAATTTGAGCACGTCTTATATATTTATCATATTAAACAAAACTAAGTGATAAAAAAATTATTTTTATGTACATATAGAAATAGAAAAAATTATAAAAAAAATTGATACATTATTACTATCATCATCATCTAAAATTGCCACATGCAAAATACATCTACTTTTGTTATGAGACAAAAAAAAAAGGATAACTTTTGTACTAAATAAGAATGCAAGTCATTGTAATAAAAAAAATGGATGCTACTTTAGATTTGCACGGTAAACAAGCATAGCCTATTGACCAATTAATGGGTTGCCATTTGATTTAGGTATTAACGCAAAAACATCAACCAATCAATCCATAATAAATGAAAACATGGACATAAATTGTTGGTCATCTCACAACTTCCTTTCTCTGTTTCATCGGTTTCTGTCTATTTCCTTGAGTTGAATGACATGATACCATAGCATAAAGGTTAAGCAGTATAATAGAGCTTTCAAAATGTTAAAATCCTTTCCATTGTAATTTTGGATCAAATTATTTCAGTATCTTTAAAATATTTTAAAAGGAAGAACGCTAGAAAAAGATGAAGCTGAAATAAGCTCATTTAAGGCTATGCATTTTTAGTCATGATTTTTTTTTTTTCACATTTTGTTCTCAGTGTGATTTTGGCACCAATTGTTCAATGAATGGATCCAACTAAGAGATCCCTCATACCAAGTAGGGGGTGTCAATTGGACTGGATTTGGTCCAATCAGATCCAGTCCATTGTGAGTCCTTTACAAATGAACTAAATCCAATTCAATCCAATGAATATTTTGGACCATTTTGGATTGGTCTAATTTAATGTCTGGAACATCTAATCTGTTCAAATTTATTTTAAGTTAGATTAGTTCAAACCCAAACCTAGTTCATTGAGACCTATATTGTTATCTTCTATCAGTGGACTAGATATTGACTCAACCCAACCCAATCCAATATAAATTCATTATGGATGGACTTGGTCCAATCTAATAGAATAAATACTTTGACCATTAAATTTGGATTGGTCCAATTCAATATCTTGTTGGTCCATCCAATTCGTCCAAATTGATTTTGATTTGGACAGGTTCCAATCCAAAATTGGTCCATTAACACCCCTAATACCAAGAAGCATCATTAGACCATCTCTAGCCATTTCATCTTTAACATGTTTTTGTCGGCGTTTCATTTTAGATTTCCTACTCAGAATGACCATTTGAGTATATGTAGATTGTCAATCCACTCGGTGTTAATTTGGTTAAAGTATCACTTATATTAACTAGGTGTTGGGCATCAATGCTGCCGTTTCTTTATAGTCATTTTCTAAGAAAATGGTGATGTATGGATGAGGATCTGTTGCATTATTTTCTAAAAAAAAATTGTTCATTTTTTGTTTTTTTATTTGACA